TGCGAGAATTATATGTATATGAATCACACTATTTTAGGCATACGTTTCGCGCTTTTCAATTATTAACATTTTGGTGTGGCATATCTTACGAAATACGCAATCGGAATTTTATCGAAGGCAACAGTAATTGAATTGATAATAGTAAATGAATTACTAATATTAGCTGAATTGACAGGTTTGAAAATTATTTAACAATTTTCGATAACAATTGTTTATTATACAAATTATTGTTGTAAAGATCGGAGTTGCACAATAATTTCATCTTTTTTATATTCAAAAGATATGATAACTATAATAACTATAATCATAATGAATTATAATTAATATATTCATAATGAATTATAATTAATGCAGTACAAGAAATCAGAATTGCACAATAATTTCACCTTATTAGTATTCAAAAAATATGATAACTATAATAACTATAATCATAATGTGTTATAATTAATATAGTCATAATGAATTATAATTAATGCAGTCCAGGAAATGCATAATAAATATTATTAGTAAACAATAGCATTTGTATTATTGTAATCCATTTAATCACCAAAAAAAAGAGGTTTTTTTTTATTAAGGTAAATATTATTTTCATATGTAAAATTTAATTAATTCTTAATTAACATAATATTGTCAATAATTATTAATTAAAGATTTCTGTTGCAGTGTTCATTCAATTGGTTACGAAAATGAATACGAATTCGCTTCGAAGGAAGACCTAAAAGAGATAGCACGTAGTCAAATGGAAGCATTAAGTCGTGATATACGTATGAGTTTCGGCGATTATCAACTTAACACCTTTTCAAATAATGATCCTTGAAACAAAAAAGAAAGAAAGACTAATTTAATTAATTCAACGTTAGGAAATTCTCAATTTTCAAAAAAAAACATTTATATTAATTTTATTTTTAATTATGATTTCTTTGAAGTATTTCTTTTCACGAAATTTTACTCCTAATGAAATAAACCTGAAAAGTTTTGTTTATTCCTGTTATGTTTATATTTCTTGTTGTTGAAAATTTTAATTCAAAATTTCAATAAATGAAAATGCTTAGGAAGGATTTCAAATTTATAAAATTCAAATTTTATATTAATAAGAAATCAAATTAATTAAGAATCGTGATGATATATTGTAGGAAGACTAAAATTGTAAAAAAGTTTGATAATTTCTTTAAACAATTAAAATTAATTTAATTGTCTTTCTTTTTTTTTTTGTTGTTGTTGTTGAAATTATTAGGAATTTCTCAATTTCTATTTGTACGATTTCACAAAACATTTATAATAATTAATTTTATTTTAATTATTTATGGTTTTTTTTTTTTGAATTATTTCCTTTTATGAAATCATTAGGAAATTCTCAATTTCAAAAAACATTTATATTAATTAATTTTATTTTAATTATTTTATGATTTCTTTGAAGTATTTCTTTTCACGAAATTTTACTCCTAATAAAATAAACCTGAAAAGTTTTGTTTATTCCTGTTATGTTTATATTTCTTGTTTCATTGCAATTTTCATTCTCATTCACAGCCAGTGATCATTATGTAATAATTTGCTTGCCAGAGTAAACAATAAATAAATAAATAAATTTTGTGCTCAAATTTATTTGCCAATTTTTTTCAATTAGATAATATTATTTTGTGAACAAATGATCAATTTGTTTTTGATAATTAAAATTATTAATGAAATTAAATTTGAAATGATTATACTATTTGAAAATATATTTATCGCAATTATGCAAAAATTTTTTTTAATGAATTACAAAGATAGATAGATTAAAGTATTTGATATTATTTGAATTAATTATGCTAAATTAGTATTTTAGTAATTTAGTAATTATATCCAATTAGTATTTTGAATTAATTATGTCAAATTAGTATTTTAGTAATTTCAATTCAAAATAGTTTCAGCATTTCTTCAACCAGACAGATAATGATATTTTCTTAGAAATATTTACATGATTGAGTATTAGAATTAAATTTCGGTTAATGGAACTCTAAGATATCCAAAATATCGTTTCAATAACAAAATTAGAAAATTGAAGTCTAATTAATTATGCTTAATTAGGCTTTAATAAGTGAATAATGGGATGGATATGCATGTTCACGTCTATTGTTATTAATTAAATATATATGCGTATATTTAATATAATATATTAACTTTTATTAGTAGTAAAGTAAAATTTACTTAAACATTACCAATCACATATTCTCCATTGTTATATTCAAATATGAAGATGACGAAAAAATAATTCGCACTTTTCATAATTTTTCATTATCATCTATTGTTTTTCGTTGTTTCCTGCTTAAATCTTAATTATTATTAATTAATGCTATTATCCGAAGCGATATATATAGTATATTATAGCTATTTTTTGCTAACAATAAGATAAAATATTTTACAATTAAAACAATGAATAATGAACAATAATCTATTTAAGATGTATTGTGCTAGAATTTTGATTTAATTAATTAATTCATTCATTCACTTATTAAATAATACTGTAATTAAGTAATTAAATTCTAATATTATAATTAAATTCATGGAAATGATATTAAAATAAGCATGTAGTTTATATATTATTAACACATACAACTTCACTCAAAATACATTCCAATTTGCTGAAATTAAAAACGGAAAAGAATTATCGAATCATTTAATTATTAAATTCATTTCGGTTGATTATATTTATTAATTAATCGTGTCACTTTAGCACATTTTGCAGCTCCATCTTCAATTATTCGTGCCTCTTGAATAATTACACGTGCGGGTACCAAACGAAACGTGTAATCACGTTTAATGAATTGACACGTATACGATAATAGATTAAGACATGCAATACGTTCTTGCACTAATCCATTACTACATCCTTCTTTTTCGCTGCAACATTTTCATTGTAAATTTTAATTTTCTTAAATTTGAAATAATATACTTTTTACTTCAATTAACTTTTAACCCCTCCCCCGCAAAAAAAAAGTAAAACAAAGAATACCTGAGTGAAATTTTTGCTTTTGCCAACAATTCAATCATATTTTGCCAATGATTATTTTTTGATTTATGATCACAATCGATCAATCGTTGTTTAATCAATTCTGCTAAACGTTTTTCACGAATATCACGTGCTGTTTGTGGTGGAAATTTACGTTGAAATTCTGTTGCAATTTGCTGAAAATCTTTTGAACAATCTGAAAAAAAAAAATAATTTATTTGATGAGGGATTGTTTTTTAAACAAAAGAAAATTAATTAATTGTTAAAATTTATCATATCATTTGCTAAATACTTGTGATAATGATGAAATATGATTAATTGTTATCGGACAAAAAAATTTTCAATTATTTATTTAAGTAAAATTTGTTTTAGAAATAATTATGGCAAATTTATTAGTTGCAGAAATTAATTATATATTATATTTATAGAAATTGATTATATATTATATTTATAAATGAACTCCTTTTATTTAAAGTAAAGATTAAAATTAGAATAAGAAGGAATAATTTTAGCAAATAATCAATATATACTAATTAAAATAATTAATTTCCAATTGTTCTATGCAAAATGCTGAAAAATACGAATAAGAAGGAATAGTTTTAGCAAATATTCAATAAATACTAAATAAAAGTAATCAATGTACACTAATTAAAATAATTAGTTTCCAATTATCCTATGCAAAATACTGAAAACAATATAGGATTTGCATTATGAAGAAAAAGGATTAACTTTTGTAAAATTATTAGCAAAAAAAAATAGCAATTAAAAAATTATTCAATACCTAAATTAAATTTAATTAAAGAAATGATTTATTCAATTAAAGATTGTCTTAATGAATTTAGGAAAAAATCTTATAAAAATATTTTCCTTTGAATTTTCTCAAAATTTTGAAATATTTGTTAATTAAAAAAAAATATGAAAAAAAAATATTTGTATGTAATAAAAAATATTTGTATGTTTTCATCCTATTTATCACTCATAAACTTTATCACTCATTAACTTTTATCACTAAAAGATGAAAAGAGATAAGAAAAAGATTAGAAAAAGACGTTCTTTTTTTGTTTCCTTATCATCTTATCACATCTATGCTATCATATACAATTCGAGTATTAACATTTATGCTATTATATGTAATTTGTATATTGAAAGGAATTAATTGATAGAAAATTTTAATTTGTTGATAATTTTTTTCAACTATAAAAAATTACTTATGTTCTTTTATTTCTTACTAATCATTTCGAAGTAAATAGCTGTAAGCTTATTGAATGATTGTATAATTACGATGCGATACATCGTATTGATCATAATTTTAGGTACTGTTATATTGAATACTAATTTATAACGTACTTTATTTCTTTGTTGTTTTCTTATCATCTTGTCATCTATACTATCGTATACATCTATACTATCCTTAATAGTAATTATTTATGAACAGTTAATAATAGCAATAGTAATAAATTATCAATTATTTATAAATAATTACTATTAAGGAATGAAACATATATTTGCATATAT